ATCATGAAAATTAAACCTTATTTTCAATAAGCAATCCTGAAAAATATTTGGGGGTGCTTAACCTTTTTCCAGGTGTATATTTGGATATCAACAGAATGCCCTAATTCAGGATGAGTCAAGCGTACAAAGATTTTGAATAATGAGTTGAAATGGTTCAACATCTTTATAGACGCAAAGAATATTTAATAGCATATGGACAAAAATAATATAGCTCTTTCAATAACTAGATATGGAGTTTATTGTCTTGTTTGAACATCAATAACACTATTCATCATACAGTAATGTCACCAGAAGGCGTTAAATCTGTGTATTGTAGTCATCATTCAAGTAAATGATAGCCTTATTTCTTGGGGTTAAGTGATAGCCTACTGCAAAACCGGAGTTAGCAGGGGGAAGGGGGCAGAAAGCCGCGACCTCACAGAAATATCGTTACCCCAAGTTAATACCTTCCGTTAATCTAATTTTAGACTTGGCCTCATTTTATGTCTAACAACTGGTATTTAAATATGGCTATATCTAACTTTGATTATGAATTGTGTAGCGGCTGTTGTGTTGAAAAACGTGACAGATGACATCCGAGAGCACGTAGCCATGATGAATATTGGACATTTTAGATAAGCTATCTACCTCATCATCCCAGGGATACAGCCCTCGTTGACACGAGTGTCACCCCCCATTCCGTTGACCATAAATTCCTGTTCTCCATGGTCTCTTTGGTAATTGGTATATCCACTAAAACATTTCATGGTCTCATTGGTATATCCACTAAAACTTTGTTATGGTGAATATTGTCCATCTTAACGATATTCGAACCGCTAAAAAACTTTATAAGAACCCTTAAATGTTACTATTGTTATGGTGATATTCGAACCACTAAGAAACTATATATGAACCCTTAAATGTTACTATTGTTATGGTTATATTCGAACCACTAAGAAACTATATAAGAACCCTTGAATGTTACTATTGTTATGGTGATATTCGAACCGCTAAGAAACCTTATAAGAACCCTTAAATGTTACTATTGTTATGGTGATATTCGAACCGCTAAGAAACCTTATAAGAACCCTTAAATGTCCTGTTATGTCCTGTTTAACCAAATATTGTACTTATCCTGGGTAGTGTCCTGTTTAACCACATACTGTAGTTATCCTGGTTAGTATCATGTTTAATCAAATACTGTAGTAATCCTGGTTAGTGTCATGTTTAATCTAATACTGTACTTATCCTGGGTAGTGTCCTGTTTAACCAAATACTGTAGTAATCCTGGGCAGTGTCCTGTTTAACCAAATACTGTACTTATCCTGGGTAGTGTCCTGCTCAACCAAATACTGTACTTATCCTGGATAGTGTCCTGTTTAACCAAATAATGTACATATCCTGGGTAGTGTCCTGTTTAACCAAATACTGTAGTAATCCTGAGTAGTGTCCTGTTTAACCAAATACTGAACTTATCCTAGGTAGTGTCCTGTTTAACCAAATACTGTAGTAATCCTGAGTAGTGTCCTGTTTAACCAAATACTGAACTTATCCTGGTTAGTGTCATGTTTAACCAAATACTGTACTTATCTTGGGTAGTGTCATGTTTAATCAAATAATGTACTTATCCCGGGTAGTGTCCTGTTTAACCAAATACTGAACTTATCCTGGTTAGTGTCATGTTTAATCAAATACTGTACTTATCCTGGGTAGTGTCCTATTTAATCAAATACTGTACTTATCCTGGGTAGTGTCCTGTTTAACCAAATAATGTACTTATCCTGGGTAGTGTCCTGTTTAACCAAATACTGTACTTATCCTGGTTAGTGTCATGTTTAATCAAATACTGTACTTATCCTGGG